GGATCCATCCCAATGGTTTTTTCCCCAAGTTCAGAAGAGTACTCGATGCTATCTATATTGACTTGATTCTGATGTAATATTTTCATATAATCTTTGTCTGAATGGAATCAATTGAGACACGTTTATAGGATTCATCCATGTTGTGGGTTTCAGGAAGATTCTCTTTAAAAAAAAAAGAAAAAAAGAGGTGTTTGTTAATTTTGAAGATTATCCTGTCATTTGATCAAATGGTCCTCCAGTTTTAGGCCTGCCGCCTTCATCAGTTAGCTGATGCAGGATGTAGTACCACTAACTACCCTATCCAATCAGAACAGCTTGTGGTGAAAATACGGTAATAATAAATGGATGCCTGTATTTCAAGGCTTATTGCATTCCCAATAGAGTATGGAAGGCATAGGATGTAGGCAATATTCTTCAAAGGGCTTCCTAAAAGAAAAGAGAGAAAGAAACAACATTTATGAGAGACAGGTTGGGGCAGTTGGCATTTGCCTTAATAATCTATGTTACCAGCTGGAGGACCAGATCCAGAAATGGTCACCCCTACAAGGGTGACTTTGGACAGAACCACACCTGTCAATCACCTGATGTCACATAATTGTTAGGATTTCACCCCTCCCTATGCTGCAGATAGGGATCACTTGTTGGAGCACGTGTCTGTATGTAATGCATTTCAGCTGCTGATTGTTAGAGCTATATAAGCAGAAAGGGAGATACACTGTTTGTTCTCTCACAGTGATGTTTTGTTTCAGTGTTCTCTCTGAGGAAGAGAGAGAAAGAGGAGCCATGTTTACTTTGAACTGTTATGTTTGATTTCGTTGCAATAAATTAGGATTAGATGTTACACCTCAAGGCTAACGCTTTTATTTTGGATTCTGCTGGTTGTGTGCTCATGTCCCATCAGTGTGACAGAAGACCGGAGTGAAGAATCCCGGGCGATGCTGCACTGGGGGAAGGCACAAGGCCTCGGCATTATCTCACAACAATTATATCAGGTGATATTAAATTTCAGCCACAGTTTCAAAAAAAGATTCTTTCTTTGCAGATGCATTTTGAATTCAAAAATTATCCCAGCACTGCAAGGTGCTTGGGATTTGGCACCAAGTTCAGCAGAGGCCGAAAAGGAAGAATTGAGAGCTCCAGGTTCTTCCTTTTAAAAATAAGGCAGTGGCTTTACATGTCCCACAACTGATGTCATATTTCTATTTATGGTATCAAGAGATGAACAGGTGGGCATGACTTGGGACAAATGGCCTCTTAAGACAAATGAAAAGGCCTGGGGGCGGGGGTGGGGTGTCTAATTAGGCCTGTCAACTGGAGGCTCCCAACTGGATTTTCTTTGTTTTCTAAAAAAGCACCAAAGTGTAGAACGAGCTTCACACTGTTCTCTTTCATTATTACATCATGTTTCTAATTTTATTCTGAATTTGCACCATTGGATGATATCCATGCACCCATTTACAGATACTCTGCTGTATCAAGGAAAAACAACAGCCACCCCTAAACTCTTTAAGCAGAATCTCTGCCAGATATGTACTAGCTGAGCAGACCATCATGGTGATCAACTAGTTCTTCATTTTGTCTTGCATTATTTCTTCCACCATTTTTCATAATAGACTGTTCTATTGTAAAGGACTCTTGAAATGTACTTAATAAACAAAGAATATGGGGCTGAAAGCAGTTCTCTTTTCTCTGCCTTGTAATCATAAAACAGAAAAGTTTGTGCTCGATTTGATTATATGATATTGTCATTTATATTTTCATTCTTAGACACTGGTGAGCTGATGCCACTTACCAAGCTAACATCCCATTCTTGCTTGCAGAAACTTTCTTTGCACACTCAACATCATCTGCGATATTGTCATCCAGAAACTCTGCCAGGAAAGTTATTGAAGGACAAATCAGGATAGAATAGGGGCTTCTGTTGGTGTATTCTCCACCTTGCTACCTACCATCTGCCTTCCTGAGGTAGCCAAGGTAGTCTCAGCAGCAGTGCTGAAATCCCTCAGGCTCATGGTTCTGAGAGACTTCAACATTTGTGTCATCTCTATCTCACTGGAAGCCACAACCACAGCAGGGCAATGTCCTGTTGGATTCCACTGCCCAAGGCAGCTGCTTCAGCCCACCTGATTGTCTCAATCATGAGTCTGCATCAGGTTACTCCTGCTCCTGCTCCATTAATGGGTCCTTCACCCCTGATGGGACTGAGACTTACTTGGCCTCAGAAAAATCTTCAGGAATGAAGGACCCATTAAATTGGTTTGCCCCCCCAAAAAACAGATGGATCCAAATAGTTTCCTAGTGACTCCCATTCCTGTCTCCTGTCGCTGCTGCAAGTGGTTCTGTCAAAGCTCTGCTTGGTCTTTGAAAAATGCCTCTTTTTATCTTTTGAAGGCTTCATTGTGATCAATGGTTTTAATGATGTGAACGAGTCTAAGCTCAACAACTTGGCCCCCCCAAAAAAGAACCTCAACAACTTTTGTGTCTGGATTTCACTTTCTGAAATATGGCAACCTTACATTAGTCACATTGCAAAGAACAAGAAACTGCAGCAATAATGGGGAGGGATTAAGTATTTGAGCCAAAGTTCCCTAAGTCTCCTCCACAAAACCCCTTTTCGAATACCAAGACTCAGTCCTGAAAGATATAAATAACAAAAAAGGGGTGCCACTGAGCATGCAAAGAATGCCTGACACTCATAATTGAGCAGGCATAATTAAGCCACAGCTTGCGAACCAAAGTATGTTGCTAGCATTCAGGCTTAAGCTCTGCCACATTGTGGAGAACCTTTATGGCTCCACAGGCCAGATCCTTATCAGGATCATGCCCATGAGCCAAATTTGATGGATGGGTGGGGACACTTATCTGTCAGTCATATGACATCATATGATATTGCATGAGCATATCCGCCCACCGGTCAAAATCCCTTGTGTGGGAACCACACCTCAACAGACCAAAATTGGTGCACTGGGAAGCTCTGAACATAGGGCTGACAAACTGCTTATTTCTTGGGTCCCCGCTGTTGATGGGGAGGGGAGAACGAAGACTGGAGTTTGCAAGTGACAGCAGTGTGGGGCTTCTGCAACCTTGTTTCAGAGGAAATCGCTTGGCATGCCAAGCTGGAGACCCTGGTGGGCCATGAAGGGCCCCAGGGAGCAGATTCCCACCCCTGAAATAAACAGTTCTCCTTGAGTTGCAAAAGGCAAAAGCAAAGAGTCACCACTTACTCTCACAGTCAATACTGCATAGGTTTTTTGTGGGATGCTTTCCATTGTCACACCACAACAGACCACTCAAATAAAATATTCCATAGTATGGATGGCCATCTGTGTACTCATAGTGTTGCGTGTCAAACTGACTTGCGAACAGGACCAAACACAACCCTGGGAGGAAAGCACAGATTAGAAAGGTAGAATGCTTTTTGTTTCCTACATATCAAGTGCAAAACTTCAAAACAGGAAATTTCATATTATATGACTCAATATTTCAGCTAATTACATTACAGAATGTTACCATTACAGAGTTGCCATATTCCAAAGAGCCAAAACCCAGACAACCCACCACCACCACCGCACATCTTCATCAGGTGGCTGGCATGAGGATGGAAGGGAGAGAGGGAGAGAACATACCAGGAAGGGAAGCGGCTGGCGGGAGCCAGCCCTGTGCTGAGAAAGAAATGTTCCCCGGACATTTTGCCAAGTTCTGAAAATTTCCCCTGGACACCATTTTCAGGAGCGGAATCCCGTATATGTCCGGGAAATCCAGGATGTATGGCAGCCCTAACCATTAACCATTCTCAAATTTGGCATTAACCATTCAAGATTCAGTCTTTCACCTAGCGCAGGTGAAAGGTTTGTTTTTCATAATATTTTTCTTTAGCATAAAACACATATACATACAAAATAGATATGCCTATGGTGCTATTTGTTTATTATTTTTATAAATGCTTTTATAAAACCAGAAAACTTGATTATTTACACCAATGGAGCTTCCTCACAAATTGATCACAATTTTAAAGGAATAAATAATCTACTCTTAACCCTTCCCTTCCAAATTCCTTTTTTATGTAACCTGTTACCATGCTTTATGTAATTCCTCATGATAATTTTCTCTATTTTTTAGAATGATTGTTAATTTAATGAGGGTAGATTTGACGGAGTAGTCCCACCAGCGAATGCCTGAGCAAGGACTTTTCCTAGCACATCTGGGCTTCCCATGCCCCCCCCAAAATTTTCTGGGGCAAAACAACAACAACCCTTGCAGGCAAGTAGAAAGAACTGATAGAGCAATCTGCTTAGTGCTGCACTGAATTCCTCCCATCAGATTCAACTGTTTGCAGGTTTTTCTCAATAGAGACCTTTGCAAAACTGAATAAATGCACAATCTGAAACACATGTTTGAGGATGTTCACCTTTAATAACACTTAAACAAACCACAATGGTAGAACCTGAAAACTCTCTTTTTTATCTCTTTTACCACATAGTACCAGAACTGTTTTGCTCTGTTACACTCCCACCCCAAGAAGTAAAAATCACAATTCTGAAAATAACAGGACATTTTTTGAATATTTTTTTTTGAAAATGTTCTCAATGCCCAATTTTGTTTCTATGGGCCCATTTTGAAAAAGTGGCATATCTGCAAATATTAAACAATGTCAGAGAAATCATAAACATTTTAAATGACAGTCTAAACATCAAGAAAATAATGAATTACAACAAACTCAATCCATAAAAAGCCTTTAACAAAACCATAGCAGGTGGACCTAAATTAATTCAAAGAAGCTAAAGGGAGTCCAGCACCTAAATAACTCACAGTGTCCTACTCCAATGTCGTGGTAACCATCCAGTCCTCGTCTTATTAATTCATCTTGCAGCTCGCATTTTAGATACTTTTTGGACTCGGATGCTAAAATGAGTAGGCAGAGGAAGGCAAGGTTCAGGGCCTTCATTACCACAGATCTCTAAGAAGTAATATGTCCAGAGTCTTGAGAGTTTTTATAGCTGATGGATGTAGACTTGGCCAAGTCTACACCTCTTTCTACAGTGAGGGCTTAGACCAGGGGTCAGCAAACTTTTTCAGCAGGGGACCGGTCCACTGTCCCTCAGACCTTTTGGGGGGCCGGACTATATTTTTTTGGGGGGGGGAATGAACAAATTCCTATTCCCCACAGTGCCCCAGAGATGCATTTTAAATAAAAGGACACATTCTACCATTCTACTCATGTAAAAACACGCTGATTCCATCCACGGCTGATTAGAAGGTGATTAGGCCAGATCTGGCCCCCAGGCCTTAGTTTGCCTTAGAGGTTGCTGAGTTGGTGCAACAACAGGCTAGAATGTCCCTAAGCTGCCCGTGTGTGTGTGTGTGTGTGTGTGTGTGTGTGTGTGTGTGAGAGAGAGAGAGAGAGAGAGAGAGAGAGAGAGAGAGAGAGATGTTGTCTATGTTAAGTATAGGTTAACAATAGTGACTCAATACCCATTGAGCCAATCACCCATCTCCTACTACACTTCTGAGAAAAACCCCACCCCACTTCTGCTTCAGAGTATCTGAAGAAGTGTGCATGCACACAAAAGAACAAACTTAGTTGGTCTATAAGGTGCTACTACAATTTTTATTTTTATTTTTTATAACACTAGTGCTTTACTTATCTTTCCTGCAGAAATTGTTATCAGGGGAGAGCTTCTTTTGACAAGAATGGATTTTCATGCAGCAGATTGCTCCCCACTATTAGCTCCTATTTGCTGACCATTGTAATCCATTAAGCATAAATATGCTAAACAATACACTCCATAAATATACTGACTAGATTGCTCTGCTGCAAGCTAGCAGCATAGCAATCTAACTTGGGGCAGTATGGCACTTCTGGCCCACGGACCTCATCAAGGCAGCCAGATCTCCTCACCTGGTCTGCAAGGCACCTTCAGTCATGCCACACCCAGCAGCCTGACACCTGGTGTTCTCATGGGTGTCATCAGCAATTGGGCAGGTAAAGACTCAGCTGGGTCAAAGGGAATTTGCAGGCACAGGCTGATCATCAGGGCTTGTGAAGTGCCTACTGGAAACATTTGTCTTTCAACAAGCCTTTTTAGTTGAGATATATGCCAGTCTGAATCCATATTGTGTTTTAAAAGATTTTTTTTAATTGTTGTTTTCCTCCTTTGTGAGAGAAGGCAGGATATAAATTTATAAATAAAGAAATTATTATTATTTATTCCCCACTCATTGGGGGTTGCCCCAGCCACTCTGGGCAGCTTCCAACATAATATGAACACAAAACTAAATATGTCTACGTAAAGTCGTATAGTTGTTTATCTCCTTGACATCTGAAGGGAGGGCATTCCACAGCACAGGCGCAACCACTGAGAAGGCTCTGCATGCTTCCCTGTAGCTTCACCTCTCACAATAAGGGAGCCCCGAGAAGGCCCTCAGAGCTGGATCCCCATGGATGGGGGTGGAGACGCTCCTTCAGGTATACGTAGTTGAGACTGTTTAGAGCATAGGTCGGCAAGCTAAGGCCCGGGGGCCAGATCCAGCCCCCTTCTGGATCTGGCCCGCGGACGGTCCGGGAATTGCCACGTGGATCAGCGTGGGGATTCTGATTGTTTGGGCTGTGCCATCCCTCCCCTCTCCCTCACACACACCACGTCTGCACCTCCTCCCTGCCTCCTCCTGGCTTCTTCCTACCCTGCCTAGAGGAGGAAGGGGGCTGGGCTTTGTTGAGCCGCAGTTGGCTGAACGCCATTTTAAGCAGCCCCTCTCTGGAGCCAACCCTTTCACACCGCTTGTCCTGCCGTGGGGTTTACCTGTGCCTTCTCTGCTGTGGAGAAGGGAGAGGAGAGTTGGGGGGGATTCCCCCCAAAAAACAATATAGTTCCCACAAGGTCTGAGGGACAATGGACCGGCCCCCTGCGGAAAAAAGTTTGCTGACTTTAAAGGTCAGCACCAAAACCTTGAATTGCACTGGTCACTGTAGTTCGCCCCTCAAAGAGTTACAGTTCAAAGCAACCCTTAACAAACTACAGAAATCCTTGAGGGAAATAATATGCTTTTAATGCTTATGCACCTTGTGTCTAGTCTGCACCTGTAGAATGCACTTTGCACTTTTGAAAAACGGTTTGACCGGATATCAAATACCCAGTTCCTCATTTCTGGCAGCATGGTTTGAATTAAAGGAGGAATCAAGGGCACTGTGCTCATCCAAATAGTTTTCTTTCTCCAACGCAATAATCTCATTTCTTTCTTCTTTCTAAAGATAAAAGGCACATACAATGATATTCCCTTATACATTTTCCTTCATCATTTCCCACGGAGTTTCCTGTGGGATGAAGAATGGTTTGTTCTCATTTTAAAAATCAGCTTTGATCCTCATCTGGGAATTAGGGTCAGCTAAAATGATGCATTTGATCTGAATCATTAAGAGTTTCTATTCTGGATGGAGATCAGAGAAGGTCAGGATGACAGAAACAATGTTCAAGATAACAAATTCACAGGTCTGTACCTGCCTGAGTATATATTGAGTACTTTTGTGCCTACAAGCCAAATGTATTTAGGGAAACAAAATACTCCTCTCCCACAAACACCTGCTCACAAACACATTTAAAAGGGTATAAGATGTTAATCTTTGACTACAGTGAGAGGAAAAGAGAAAGTGTAAGTGAGCAATTGTTAGGCTAATCTGCTTTTAGTTCTGGATGTCACTCGCTGCTCACAATAAACCACAATAAAAATTGCAAGAGGATTTTGAACACTTCAGGGATAGAAGTAACACGCAAAAAGCAGCTGGAAATAATAGATATAAAGAAAATGAGTGACATGATAACAAAAAAATAAAGTAATGAATGTGATGTCAGTGAATCAATAACAACATTAACAAGTTTACAAATATCTATGTATATTACCGTACATTTTGGTCCATAGGGCGCACCGGCCCATAGGACGCACCTAGTTTTTTGGGGGGGGAATAAAGAAAAACATTTTTATTTTCCCCCTAGGCATGGGGCTGGGGAAGCCTGAGCTTCCCCCGACCCCAGCTCCCAGAACAGGCAGCTCTCCGCAAGCCGTGGGAGAGCTGCGCGACTTCACGCAGCCCTCCCACGGCTTGCAGAGAGCTGCGCGAAGCCCGAAGCCTGGGGGGCGCTGAGCTCAGCGCGCCCCCAGGCTTCGGGGTGCAGGCAGCTCTCCACAAGCTGTGAGAGAGCTGCGCGAAGTCACCCCATAGGACACACACACATTTTCCCTTCATTTTTGGAGGGGGAAAAGTGCATCCTATAGGGCGAAAAATACGATATGTAAAAAATATATATCTTAGAATAAAAAGCTATTAAGATTTTAAATATTATTTATAGCATTTATATACCACTCTTTGGTTGCAATTGCACCACTCAGGCCAACTTACAACAATTCAAAAACATCAGCAAATTAATAATGATGATAATGATGATGATGATAATAATAATAATAATAATGATAATAATAATAATAATAATAATAATAATAATAATAATAATAATAAAATATTTTATTATACCCCACCCATCTGGCTATGGTATAAACACATATAAAAACATAGTAAAACATCAAACATTAAAAACTTCCCGATACATGGCTGCCTCCTAAAAGTTGTGTAGTTCATACACACATATAATTTTCACACACACACCCCCCCAAAAAATTATTGCATTAAAGAAAAGAAAACAAAACATAAACCAAAACATTTAAAACAACTATATATAATCAATTTTAAATCCACATTCTGGGATTACTTGAATCCCCCAATTTCCCTCCACTACCTCCCTTGGTTCCTTTGTATTATCTTCATTTATGCATGTCAATAAAATCTTTATCTCTAATTACCTCCAAGTTTACACGTTATATATAACATTACAAGTGTTTTTAAAAATCCTGCTAATGTATTAAATTGCATACACTGCTTTTGTAAATATGCAATAAACGTTTCCCATTATTTTTTATATATGTTGTCATCTTGATTTTTAAGTTTCCCAGTTAATTTAGCCATTTCCGCATTAACTTAATTTGCCAATCTTCCTTAGTGGAGACATCTTCTTTCCAGTGTTGGGCTAACAATATGTGCGGCCATTGTTGCATACATGAACAAATTCTTATATTCTTTACCCTAATAAAGGTAAAGCTTCTGGTTTTTTAACAAAGGTTATTTTTAAAATTTTCTTCAATTTGTTATATATCATTTCACAAAATATTTTAATGACCTTACGTTGCTACCAAATATGATAAAATGTACCTTCTAATGCTTTACATTTCCAACACTTAATTTTTCTTGTTTTATACATTTTTGCCAATTTAACCATTGTTAAATACCACCTATCCAGCATTTTCATGTAATTCTCTTTAAGTAAGGTACAGGCTGTGAATTTTATATCATTCTTCCATAGTCTTTCCCAATCTGTCATCTGTATATTACGTCCCATATCTTTTGCCCTTGTTTCCCATTCTAATTAATATTATACATATTTGATAGTAATTTAGTATCACTTTCTATTATTTCTCTCTGGAAATTTTAAATTTCATCTTTTTATTATTTTTAATTGGAAATATTGTAGTCAATCTGTTATCTTTCCTTTTACTTCTTGAAATTCCTTCAATTTTAATTGATTATCTATTTCCGTTAACAGCTCTCTATATGTTGCCCAATTATGTTTCATATTTACTTTTTTCATGGATATTGCTTCCAGCGGGGAAAGCCACCATAATGTTTTTTGTTCTAACAAATCTTTATATTTTCCCCAAACTTAAAAAAATCACATTTCTTATTATATGACTGGAAGCTTTTATGTACTTTTGCCTTCTGGTACCACAAGTACGCATGCCAACCAAGTCTATTACCATGTCCTACTAGATCTAGTAATTCTGTGTTTTTTAATGTTATCCAATCCTGGATCCGGCAAATGCAAAAAGCTTCATAATATAATTTTTTATCTGGCTGATGTCCTGCCACCATGAAAGAGGAGAAGCTACCTCTTTCTTTAAGATCTGTTAATAATTTATATTTTATTCTTGGCTTATCACCTCTCCAGATAAATTCTGCCACTCTTTGAAGCAACTCACATTGCTTATCACTGGGATTGATTGAAACAACAACAACAACAACAACAACAACAACAACAACAACAACAACAATAACTATTTATTATTTGTACCCCGCCCATCTGGCTGGGTTTCCCCAGCCACTCTGGGCGGCTTCCAACAAAGATGAAAAATACAAAAATAACATTTTTGGCAATACATTCATCTTGATTACCAATATCCTTCCTAATAATGATAGATTCATTCATCCCCAAATCCCTAAATTCCTTTTTTTATTTCCATATTTTTTTTCATAATTATCTTTGAATATATTTATATATAATATATTCAAAAGTTGTGTAGTTCTTTATCTCCTTGCCATCTGATGGGAGGGTGTTCCACAGGATGGGCACCACTACTGAGAAGGCCCTATGGCTGGTTCCCTGTAACTTGGCTTCTTGCAGTGAGGGAACCACCAGAAGACCCTCAGAGGAGGACCTCAGTGTCCGGGCAGAACGATGGGGGTGGAGACAGGTATACAGGGCCAACACTGTTCAGGGCTTTAAAGGTCAGCATCAACACTTTGTTTTTGTTTTTTTAAAATAATTTTTATTAGTTTTCTTTTCTAACAACAAATATCAAAATCATTTCCAAACATACATTCTACATTTCCCCCCCCCCTTCCCGTTGACTTCCTTCAGCTTCCCCTCTGGTTTGTTACATTAAATGATACAATCTGCTATTCCTTATCTGTCAAAACATTATAACAATGTTATTCATGCATTTTGTTAAGTAAAGTTGTGAATGTTTATTCAAATCCTGCTACCGAGTCCATTTCTTTCAGTTGTTTCTGCAGATAGTTTATAAAAGGTTCCCATTCTTTTTTAAAATCACTGTCTTTTTCATGTAGCTTATCCGTTAGCTTTGCTAATTCCGCATAGTTCATCAATTTTTCCTGCCATTGTGCTTTTGAAGGTATTTCTCCAGTCTTCCAGTTTTGTGCTATTAGGATTCTTGCCACTGTTGTCGCATACATGAATATGTTCCATTTCTCGTTCGGCAGTCCTTGATCAGAAATACCTAGTAAAAATGCTTCTGGTTTTTGAACAAACGTCATTTTAAATTTTTTTTCCCCCAGTTCGGAATGTAGTATTATAAAAAAAAAAGGGAGATGATATATAACGAGCACCAACACTTTGAATTGTGCTTGGAAATTTACTGGGGGCCAGTGGAGATCCTTTAGTGCTATATGGTCCCAGCGGCTGCTCCCAGTCACCAGTCTAGCTGTCGCATTCTAAATTAGTTGTAGTTTCCAAGTCATCTTCAAAGGTAGCCCTATGTAGAGCCCTGCAGTAAGTGGGGAATAAAAATGGGGTCCCTTCAAGGGGTTCAGCTTCTTAAGTAAGACTGGACCTTAGGAGAGAGCGTACCTTTTAAGGCTCAAACCTGTCAGGAAGTGAACAGATTTCATCCTTGTCTGACAAAAATTACAGATGAGGTTGGTGTTTGTTGGTTTCCCATTATGTTTCATGGGGGTGGGGTGGGGGATCCAAAGCTTTACAAAATGAGAAGAGAGGAGGCTCTGAAGTGAAGCACATTGTCAGACCAAACCTGAGACAATGCAACCCTCTATAGAAGTCAAGGCAGGTTCCGAAGCAAAAACTTTCTTCTTTGTGTAACTCCACCAAAAAGGCACTTGATATAATAACGATTTACCCGACCTTCATCACAGTATTTCTCATAGAGTGGCCTAATGGGTGGACGAAACACATTGGTTATTTTGCATTTGTCCAATGCTACAGAGTTATTAAAAGAAAATAGTTCTGCAAGACTGAATTTGGCAACAGGAAGACTCGCCACAAAGTGCTACAGCTGTGCACCCAAACAAGTCAAGGCCAATGGGGGGGGGGAGATCCAGCCATTGCTCGAGTCGGGTTGACAAAGCCTGGGATCACCATGGTGATCCAGAGCAATCTGGGGCTTTCATGGTGGCAGGACATCAGGCAAAAAGAAGGAGACACCACAGTAAGAGGGACGTACCCAACCAGTTGTGTCTTTCTGGAAAAAGATAGTGGTGGATGCCTTTGGATGCAGGGGGGCAGGCTTTCCCACCTGAACTCTCCTTCCCACCTAGTCTCTTCTTCCAACCTGATGCCCCCCCCCCAGCCCTGGACAGGATGGCATCCTATACACTTAGCAGCCGGTTGCTGCTCCTTTGTGATATGCTGGTTGCTGTTCCTTTCTGTACAGGTTGCTGCTCCTTTGGGGAAGGCCAAGCAGGGAAGGCCCTCACAAATGATCAGCACCCTGAGTTCAGCTTGTTCTTATTCCTATCTCATGTGATTTTCCTCTCTACTTTTCACAACAAAGTGGCCTAAAGCAAAATCAAATGACACTTAAATGCTATTTAATATGCAATGTGCTGGTCTGAATGTGCCCCTTTTTCACCACCTAATAGAGTTTCTACTGAAGGTTCTGATTAAGTAATATTTTTCAGCCATCTTTTGTTTGTTTGTTTGTTTGTTTGTTTGTTTCTAGAAAAAAAGGAGCTGATGCTACTCACCAAGCAGTCATGTCCTTTGTACTGTTGACAATTGTCTTAACACACAGAGCATCATCTGTGATATTATCATCTAGGAAGTCTGTTTGGAGGTTAATGAAAATGAGTTAATGAAGAATCCATCCAAGACAAAGCCCAACTAAAACCCCAAATACAGTGTTATGAGTTTGTGGGGGTGAGACTCTCCTAAATTCCTGGACCCAGCAAGGGTTGAAATATACCGGTAAGCCAGACTAGCTTCTTTGTTAGGAGACAAGACATTAAGAAAACAAAGGAAAGGTAATGGGCCATTAAGGAAGCCAAGGAGAGGGGGCTCTGTGCCAGATGTTAATTGGGTGGGGCCCCTCCTCCAGTTCACAGTTTGGAGACAAAGCCAGAGATTAGAGTTGAGTTGGCTGTGATGTGACTGGTGGAGGCAGGAGGTTGCAGGCTGGAAAAGGTGGAGGCAGAGCACAATGTGTTTTGATCCAAGGCTGTGCCTGTGGGAGAAGCAAGACCATCTTGTGATGGTGATGCTGTGAGCCCCTCCATCGTAGCCTCAGGTTGTAGTTGGTTAAAAAAAAAAAGGTAAAGGACCCCTAATGTTATGTACAATAAACAGTTATGTATTATGTTTACTGTACATAAGGATTAGGATATTGTATTGTATTGTGTTGTGTTGTTGTGTTGTATTGTATGGGGTAAATATTTAATGCATAATTAAGCATATATGTTTTATATATAGGATAATGTATCTAATTTTTTTCATGGGGTAAATCAGTTAATGTACTATATACATTTAGCCCACAAAGGCGACTATGGGGCCCTGAGGGAGCTGGTGTTTCTGGGTCATGTGGCTAGCAGGACTAAACTGCTTCTGGAGCAACGGAACACCATGATGGAAGCCATGGAAACACTATTTACCTTCCCGCTGCAGCAGTACTTATTCATCTACTTGCACTGGTGTGCTTTCAAACTGCTAGGTTGGCAGAAGCCGGGACCCTGTCATGTGGATTCAAATCGCTGACCTTCCAATCAGCAAGCCCAAGAGGCTCAGTGGTTTAAGATCACAGCGCCAACCGCATCCCTTATATGCATTTCTTGATGAGGAGCATGGAGATGGTGTGTGTTGCACATTAGATCAACCAATTAAAGCACACATGGGAGAAGAGGTTCTCATTCCTGTTTTCCTTCTAGACTATATGCCAAGCAAAGATGAAAGTGGCCTGTTGCTCTTAGAAACTCACTAGTTAGACCAGCAAGCAGTAGCTCACTGTCAGACACAGTCCCCTTCTGACAGACAGAGAGGATTCTGAAAGGGAGGGGCGAGAACCAGAGATGACAGGCAGCGAGGAAGGTGAAGGGGAGGGGGAAGAATTAGAGAGCAATAGAAATCTAGTGCCTTAACACAGTGAGAGCGAGAGGGACTTATCTTGCTTAGGAATGCAGCCTGGCAGTTCTGATAGGAACACAGAGTGGAGAGAACAAGATGCAGCAGAAGAAGGGGGAGGACAAGAAAGCCCCCAAAGCAGGCCTTTGAATGTCTAGCAGAAAAGCATCAAACAGGGAAAAGGAGGGGGAAGGGGTGGAGAGTGTGATGTTTCCTCCGGAAGAGGGTAGATCTGGCAGCTGATGAATGATTGAATGAAGCTCAGACTGTTGAACCCGATAATTACTAAATAAATCTAAGTAATAAAACTGTTGGAGGTCGCGTCTTGTGTGGAAGAGACTACCAAACCTGACAGAAGAGTTCAAAACTTTCTCCACACAGGCACCACAATATAAAATCATTTCCAATTAGAGTTAAGATCCCTTATTGTTTTATGTCATGTAGATTTTTTAAAAAGAGAGAATGACCAAATCAATAAAAAGGTAAAGGGACCCCTGACCATTAGGTCCAGTCATGACCGACTTTGGGGTTGCGGCGCTCATCTCGCTTTACTGGCTGAGGGAGCCGGCATACAGCTTCCGGGTCATGTGGCCAGCATGACTAAGCCGCTTCTGGTGAACCAGAGCAGCGCACGGAAACGCCGTTTACCTTCCCACTGGAGCAGTACCTATTTATCTACTTGCACTTTTAATGTGCTTTCGAACTGCTAGGTTGGCAGGAGCAGGGACCAAGCAACAGGAGCTCACCCTGTCGCGGGGATTCCAACCGCCGACCTTCTGATCGGCAAGTCCTAGGCTCTGTGGTTTAACCCACAGTGCCACCCGCGTCCCCGAATTGTGCTTATTCAGTGTTAATTAATGGCTTGGGACCATCTTGGAAGAATTATCACCTTTCCTATGAGTTTGCCTGTGCATTTAGATCTTTCTATGGAAGCTTGTTTATGTGCTTCCCCACAAGAGTTGGGTTGGTGGCCATACTGAGACTCTGTGTCTGCCTAGGGGAGCCCACTTTTCCTCCTTCATCACTTCATGAAGGCCTTTCTTTTCCAGCAAGTATCTGGCCTGTATAATTTATTTCTGTAATCTCCTAAAGTGGTTAGTCATTAACAATTTTTATCTGCTGTACCTGCATCTCTTTTTTAATGTGATTTTTAGTTAATGTTTTATTGACTGGTGGTTTTTAGCATTGTAAGCCAAGCCATTTTAGGTATTGGAATGCAGAATAGAAATAGTTTTAATAAATTAATAAACAAACAAACAAATAAATTGGGAGAAACAATCTTTAATGTAACCAGTCTTTAGCTAGTAAATAATCCAAACATTCTTTAACCAGAAATTTTGTCTGTGTGAGACTTGGTTTCTGATCAAGGGTTAATTTTCCCCAAGGACTGTTCCCTAAAGCAACATCTGTTAAACATATGAAATATAATGCAGCGAGGGAATGCAGTGCCTTTTCCTCGATGCTGAGATAGCACAACCAGAAAGAAAGAAAGAAAGAAAGAAAGAAAGAAAGAAAGAAAGAAAGAAAGCAAGCTCTCTTCTTGGATCTCAGAAGTCACTCACTGTCACAGAGTGTGTGGCATTTATTCTGAGAGGAGTGCCTCCCGTTATCACACCACTCAAGGCCACTTAGCTGGAATATTCCATAGCGTGGGACACCATCTATATTCTCATAGTAGAATGTGTCGAGTTTGCTTGACTGATCAGCTGCACAGAGATCTAGTAGGAAAGCATAACATGACAATCAGGAACGTACAGGGATGTATTTTGTTTCCTAAAACAATTTCAGAAATATTAAAATAGAAAAATGTGGTTATTTGGCTTAGTCAAATTTCAGCCTCAGGCTTGATTTCAACACTTTGAAAATGCTGTCTTCAACAATTCTCAATTGTGATTTATTGATTCAATCTTCAGTTTTCCTTGTACACCATTGGCAAACAGCAAGCAGTGCTTATAAACTAACAAATAACTTCTAACATGTTTGTGATGTCTCTAAAACATTTCAAATTTCTCAAATGACTCCTTTGAACCTTGCTAGTTTTATGGATTCTTAGTTTCCAAATTTGCCACATTCTTTGAAAACTTTCACCACTCTCAAGCATCAAAGAAACATTCTGAGCAATGTCAGAATACATGGGAATACGCCATTCAGGAAAAGAAAAGAAAATGAAAAAAAACAAAACAATCAAATTGGACCAAATTAATTTATTACAATGGAAAGGTTTGATCACCCAAACAGGCAAAACTCACACTGTTCTGCAAAGATGCCTTTAAATGGATCCAGTCCCAAAGGCTTCAGTGCGTAGTAGAAGTCACAAATGCTGTATACTTTGGCCTCATATGCTATTGCTATGAGTAGGCAGAATAAGGCAAAGGTGACAACCTTCATTGCTGCAGGTATGTGGAAAGGTCCAAGGAGTCCATGGGCTTTTATAGTCTGTGGCTCTGCAAATAACATTTGTGTGTCATTGCAGAGGACTTAATGGTTGATGCCAGAGCTGTTAGAATCATAGAATCATAGAATCATAGAGTTGGAAGAGACCACAAGGGCCATCGAGTCCAACCCCCTGCCAAGCAGGAAACACCATCAGAGCACTCCTGAAATGGCTGGCACTTCTGTGGGCAGCTCTAGATCTTACAACCATTGTAGGAAACATTGGCTTTTGGACACCCACAACACATATTCACTGGTGTTCTTTTGTGGATATTTGTATTTATATGGTCTATTTGCCAGTATATTTTATATTTGTGTGTGGGCATTTTTTTAAGAAAAAAGAAAAAACAACAGTAAAAGAAGAAATGGAGCTAAGCTGAGCTCTGGTCACCACACATGCCTTCCTCTAAAGAATCCTGACATCCTAGTTAGAAATGCTAGGAATTGTAGCTCTGTGAGGGGTAAACCACTGAAAAAGACACTGCAATAACTTAAGGGACACTGTAAGTCCGCTAGGTCCTCGTATGGTTCCCTTGGTCAGAGAGGAGTAAAAACGGACACCAACCAGAGTAACCTGAAGTGAAGTGGCCAAGAAGCCTGACCTTTATTTGGTATAAAGCAAACTGCTATAGCAGGGACCTACCTAATCCAACAGGGAGAAAGGCAAGACCCTGAACAAAAGAAGACATTGACTTTTAAAACTTCCCCCCATATCCCAGAATACAGTTCAGACATGGTCATCAATACATCATTGCTGGTCCAGGGGTTGTAACCTGAGTTTCCTCCCTCCTCCTGACCTTCACCAGACACCCATTGATGACAGAAAACAAAGGCTATTTACCCTCGAGCTAAGTAAATCACAGTCTCTTTGTGTCCTGGTCTGAATCCATTCCTGGTTCACCACATCACCTTTGTGATTGTGATGGGTGGCAGTTTGACACCTGGACTTGACACTCTCTCTAGGGCAAGGTTCACTGAGTACGTGACTGCACGCCTTGGGATCCATGGCTTCTAGAGTCATATTTCCCAATCCTTTTTCTGAGTGGAACAAAAGTGGAATGGAGAAGATCTGGTGGTCAGCTGATCTTTTGTGAATATATATTAGTTACCTTAGTCTGCAACCATCTGCAAAATGCCTTGACCTAGACAGGAAGTAATTAATAAAAGTTGCTACAGTGAAGCCTTGCTGGCTTGGTAAGATTTTCTCCCTTGACAGAAAGGGTTGAATGGAAAGGAGTGCGATGTAAGGCTGCAGTACCAGTGATATGTACCCTAGGTGGTGCTGTTTGCTAACATTGATTGATCAAAGCTTGACAGATCATTTTGAATACAGTGTTTTGCACAAACAGTCTACCCACATTATTGAATCAGTGGCGCTTCTCCTGTGATCAATTGGTGGTACTGGCTGCCCTTATGTACGGGGGCTGTGTAATAACCAAGTCTTACCTTAGAATAATAGCAGGTAAGTGTTCATAACAGGTAAGTGAGACAACTCATAGTTTTCTTGTGTGTAAAACCTGGATAGGATTACAGAGTGCTAATAGTCAAAACAAAAAAAATTCCTTCCAGTAGCACCTTAAAGACCAACTAAGTTAGTTCTTGGTATGAGCTTTCGTGTGCATGCACACTTCTTCAGATGCACACTTCTTCAGATACAGAGTGCTAATAGTTCTTCTTCTGCTTCCTCCCAACAGGTGTGATATTGCTGGAGGCACTAATTGTTTTTCCTGTTTGGAACAAGTCTGGGCACATCCTAGTGTTTTGCATAATCATTTATGCTTGAGCCCACATCCTTGCTGATGTGTGAATAAAATGTGTGTTTTTTCCTTATCACCGCCCCACTGTTATTTGTTATTTTGTCTTGCGTGTGTGACCCTTTTAACAGAAACAATATTAAGGAGTTACAGATAGGTAGCCGTGTTGGTCTGCCATAGTCAAAACTATACTAGCTACTATGGATGTGGAATCTCTGTATACCAACATCCCACACAACGATGGTTTACAAGCTATAAGGAACACCATTTCAGATAAAACCACAGCGGACTTTGCCACCAAACTCTGCCAATTTGTCCTTACCCACAACAACTTCAAATTCGGTGATGACCTGTTCCTTCAGATCAGCGGCACAGCAATGGGCACCCGCATGGCCCCACAGTATGCCAACATCTTCATGGCAGATTTAGAACAACGTTTCCTAAACTCCTACCCACTCAAACCTCTCTTGTACCTGCGATACATTGACGATATTTTTATCATCTGGACACATGGTCAACAGACCCTGGACACCTTCCACCAGAAATTCACCCCACAATCAACCTAACAATGAATCAATCTATGCAAGAAATACATTTTTTGGACACTACTATAAAAATACAGGATGGGCGCATAGACACCACCTTATACCGTAAACCAACTGACCGACAAACATATCTACATGCCTCTAGCTACCATCCCAAACATACCAAACAGTCCATTGTATATAGCCAGGCACTACGTTACAGCCGTATCTGTTCCAATTCTACAGACAGAGACTCTCACCTAAGAGATCTACAGCAAACCTTTTTAGAACTAAAATACCCAGCAGATGAAGTTAGACAACAGATCAACAGAGCCAGACTGATACCCAGAGAGAACTTGCTGCAAGACAGACCCAAAAAAGAAAATAACAGAACACCTCTAGTCATCACATACAGCTCCCAAGTTAAAACAGTACAACGCATCATCAGAGATCTACAACCTCTCCTGGACAATGACAGTTCTCTTTCTCAAGCTCTGGGAGGAAGACCTTTCATTGCCTACAGACAGCCACCCAATCTTAAACAACTCTGTTGGGATTGGGAGTTACTCGTGCGTAATCCTGCTCCGTTTGAGCCTCAGATTGCCTGGTTAAACCCTCCGGACTACGCAGCCCATCTTAGCGTGGCTGCTCTTAGTCACTCGTAGAATCTGTCTGTGGGCGTTTCTTAAAGCGTTGCCAACATAAGAGCTGTTTGACGCCCAATCGTTTCCTCCTCTCACTGCGCGGGAGTCTCCTGCGCAGGGTGGGCGTGGGCAGTGGGGTGCTGGGGCTCTCCTCGCTAACTTCCAATGAAGAGTCCTGGAGCCCCTGCACCTCCCTGTCCCGTTGCTCTCCCTGATCCCTGGTGTTACACTCATTCTCTTCCCCTTCTTCCCAGCTGAGTCTCCCTCTAGTGCTTGGACCTTCCCCTGCAGAATCAGAGACCCCCTCCTTCTCCCGTGCCTCTGATGGCAGTTCCCTGACATCCACCTCCCTCCCAGGGCCCCCTTCACTCCCCCTCCGACCCGGGGGCTCTATTGCAGCCTCTTCTCTGGTCGGCGAGCCAAGGAAACCCCTGAAAGAGCTGTCCTCCTCATCTGTGGGTGTGAACACCTCTTCCCACCTGCCAAGGTTCCCACCCAAGGACTGACTCTCCCAATCCGATTCCTCTTCGGATTCTGAAAACCCTTCGAAACTCTCTTCCTCCTCTGTGGTGCCGAACTGTTCTTCCCAGAAACGTTCTAAGGGCTTGGGTTTATCTGGGAACCGTTGATGGAACACTTCCACCATATGCTCGTCGCCAACTGCCTCTGCTGGCACCCACGTGTTTTCCGACCAGGGCTCTCCTTCCCACGCCACCAAGTACTGCACCTGCCGCCCTCGCCACCTTGAGTCCACTATCTCTGCGGCCGTGCTCTGGTGTTCCCTCTCTTCTACCTGTGGTTGTGGCAAGACTTCTACCTCCCGCCCCTCGAATTCCCGCCCCCCTCTGTGTGGTGAGAGCAAGGACCTATGGAACACAGGATGTATTTTCATGTTGTTGGGCAACCTGAGCTTGAACGCCACTGGGTTTATCTGTTGTAATAATAATAATAATAATAAATTTTATTTATATCCCGCCCTCCCCAGCCTTAGCTGGGCTCAGGGCGGCTAACAACAATAAAACAGTACAAAAGTACAACATAAACAACACTCTAAAATCATTCATTCTAAAATTAATTAATTCAAGCCACTGGCAGCCATTGGGCCAGAGCTCCGCGAAGATTGCCGAAGGAGGGAGTCAGGCTGTGCCCTTGCCAAAGGCCTGGTGGAACAGCTCTTGTATGACTTCAAAAGGGCCCAGTCTTCTAGGCTGCAACTTCTTGCACCCTCCCTTAAAGGGTAACCCTTGAGTGGACAACCACACGCGATCCCCCACCCTAATGGTTTCCCCTTCCCTCCGGTGTTTATCTGCTTGCTTCTTGTAACTGGCTTTGGCCCTTTCTAGGTTGGTCTTGAGCTGCTGAT